AATCGTCACATGTCTTATTTTCGATTGACGCGGACGTCGTGTAGTCTTCCTGCTCGCTTTTTTTAATATTAAGGCATTTCCACCTTTTGTGAAATAATGATAATCTGGGGTTGAAGAGCTCTTTTAGTAATTCAATCGCTTCGTCGAATTTTAAGTCTCTTGTCTTTTTGGGTAATATAAAATCCGTAAACTTATTATGTTCTGCCGTTTCCAGTTTTCGTAGTAATAATCTTATCTTTTTCTCGTCTGTCCATATTTGGCAATCGACTTCATAAAAGTACTGATATCTATGATAATATCTTTCGAAAGTCTTTTCCTCTTCTGGGTTATAGGTAAAACTTTCGATCGTCGACCATATTGTGTCTTGAGAAAAAAGTACTTTCATCCGAGTCTTTCTGCTTAGACAGTATAGCTTTATGTATAAGTTCAGTCATTGCTAACTGTTTCTTTTCATTTTCTTCTTGTATTTTCTGAAAATTCAATAGTTTTTCCTGAAAACGTTCTTCACTCTCTTGTTGTCATTGCATCTGATACTTAATGAGTTCCAGCATAGATGATTGAAATTGCTCCATGATTATGTATGTGTAGAGAAAAAAAAAAAAATTATGTGTGTATTTTTTTCTCTGAGGGGGCCAAAATTAATCAAATTCTCTGGCACGACAATTTTTTTTTTTTACACAGTAAATTGGTTATTAAAGATTCCAATTTAATCAATAAGTTAATGTCTAAATTACAGTTTTTCCTTTTTGTCGATAAACTTTTCAATCCTTTGCTGTGAAAAAATGCTTGAACTCTTTTGAATTTTTCCGTGTTGAAAATCGTTTCTTTCGTTGTTGCGATATTTATTTTTCAACGTAGGTCCTTTTTATCCCGTTCGAAGCCTCGTCACCACTGTTGAGTTGCTGGGAGTGTTCCCGCGTGTGTGTATTCGAATAAAGACAAACACAGTTGTAGGGATAAATACTGGTATATTTGTAAGAGGTAATTAACAATAGAGTGATTAGTAATAAGGAACGCCGGTTAGTAAGTAACAATAGCAAAAGTCTACAGTCCAACAGTATGTAATGGTAACCTGATCTCGACTACTGTCGCTGAACCTGATCCTTCACACCACACACCTACTCTCTCTAGCACTGACTTATATCGTAAAGGGATCAGTCCATTATCAGTCAGAAGGTGGGTGCGCCTCAACAATAATCTAGATATACTATGTCTATTCATTTTAATTTTAATCCTCTCAAATTCATGGATCAGTTTCTTAGTGCTGTTAAAAAACTGAGTAAGAAAGACATCATAGTTTTGGTTATTTCTTTTATTTTCCAAAGTACTTTCAATCTCATCCAAGACCACCTTCATGGGCGAATTGCTAAGACAAAAAAATGAACGTAATCGATAGTTGTGAATTTTTTGTAAATGTTCTCCATTTTAGTCAATTTAAAAATTAATGTTAAGAATTTGTAAGGGAACTAATTTAATTTATATTTTTCATTATTAATGTTTTTAAATACTCAACCTATAATTTTTTTTTAAACAATTCTTTTGAAATTTGAGCAGACATTTTTAAACATTGTTGCTATACTCAGAACTAATTTTAATTAGTGTTTGTTGCATTTTCTTTTATATAGAGCACTTCAAGAATTTGAAGTTTTTCTTTTTCTTTTCATGATGGAGTATACTTATGTTGCCAATTAATATATCTCTAAATTGGGAATATAGAGAGGAATGTTATTTTAAATGTTGTGCAAAAGAACTTGAATCCAACATATATAATGCAAGTCTCCGCGGTAATATTGCTGTCGTGAAACCAACATATATATTTACTTTTCTGATCAATATTGTATATCAATTTAAATGTCCTTTGGAAGATTGTATCTCTATCTTCCAAAGGACATTTAAATTGATATACAATATTGATCTTTTGGAAACATTAGTTGATGGAGAAGAGTTATTGCAGATGATTAAGTTGGTTGTATTAAATTTAGTATAGTATATAATTAATTTTATTTTTTTAATGGGATCAGTGGGGGATATATTAGTACTTATGAGTTTTTTAGGATTTTTCATTTCTCATATTTAACTGCAGTATAGTAGGTTGATATGTTTAGGGTTACCTGAGGAAGTATTATGTTCTTTTTGGTTTATTTTGATATTTCTAATAAGTTATCTAACTTGCTCATCAACAATGTAATTCAGAATGTCTTTATCATTGAGAGTTTATTTAATGGTTTTTGATTCCATGTAGAAAATTTTTTTCATATGGTTTATTAAATTTTGTATAATTGCTGTTTTGTAATAGTCATGACATTCACTTTTATAGTTTAGAGTGCATGTGTTTATGCTAGTTAGTTTTTTTTATATAGGGATGTAGCAAATGTATTATTATTGGTGTCTATTAATATATCAAGGAAAGGAATTCTGTTATTATTCTTAAGTTCATAGGCAAACTTAAGAACAGGGATTTTTGGAAGTATTTTTGTAGTACATTTATTTCATCTACATTTTTAAATAAAATAAGAATATCATCCACATATCTTAGGCAGATGGAGGTTTTTTTTAGTAGTATTAAATATCTTATTTTCAAGGTTAAACGTGTAGAAGTTACTAAATGTTGATCCCAGAACTGAACATATGGAAATGCAATCTCATATTGTATATATTATTTTGACTGTCATAGAAGGGAACCTCAGTAGTACAAGTCAAGAGTAGTTTCTGTAATATATTAGATTTTGAGTGCAGGGAAGGATAGATTGTTGTAAATATTCTTTATAATTATATCAATCATATCTCTAAATTTGGTAAAACTTTCAACATCAAGTGAGGCTATGGTTTCATTATTAGGTTTTTGTGTTTTTAAGATTTGGATTAGTTCATGACTTGATTTGATATTGTATTTATTGGGTATGTATGGTGTAATGAGTTAGTTAATGACTTTGATTAATTGATAAACTGGAGTTTATATTTATATATATATTTATAAATATATACAGTGTAACCCGGATATAAGAGAGTTGTCGGGACCGGAGAAGAAGTCTCTTATATCCGGGTTTGGTCTATTTTGTTTGCATTAACACAGGCTCTAATTTGGGACCAGAGAAAATCTCTCTTATATCCGGGTTTCTCTTATATCCGGGTCTCTTATATCCTGGTTACACTGTATTTATATTATATTTATTATCTATCTTTTATGAAAAAATAAATTTGAAAATAATTGTTTTAGTCAAAATTTTATAAATATTATCAAATTATCAAAATATCTAAACCAATGACAATGCAATATTTGCCATTTTGTAAATAACTATGACAACAAATTTTTATTCAATCTCATAAAAAATATTTTGTTTAATTTTATAAATAACTATGATACCTATTACATATTACCTAACCTAATATTAACCTATTATAACCTATGATGATGATATTATTATAATTTTATAAATAACTATGATACCTATTTCATATTACCTGACATAATATTAACTTATTATTACCTATGATGATGATATTATGATTTACCTTTTATAAAGATTTATTTTTTACCATTTTATAAAGAAATCTTTTTATTCAAAAGTTTTTAAAAAAATTACAAAACTATCAAAATATGTAAGCCAACTACAATGCAATATTTATTATTTATTATTTTATAAATAGCTATGAAAAAAACTTACTCAATCTAATAAATAAATAGTATTTAACATCTTTGTTGTCAGTTCTCAAGTATAAAGAAAATGTATAAATCCATTTTAATGTGTTTTGGGTTTTATTAAAATTTTAATCATTGCTTTTTAAAACAATAAACATTGCCAAGGGAGACAAAAGTGTATAAAGTAATAAGGGAATAACTGTGTTTTGACACACATTTTTTGACACACATTTTTTGACACACATTTTTTGACACACATTTTTTGTGGGCTTGAAGGTTAAACATTGCCGAAAAAGTTTTATGGAAAATGGAACTAAAAAAGACAATTATATCTAAAAACAGAAAGAGATAGTTGAAATTTCTAGGACATGTAATGAGGAGAGAAGACTTGGAGAATTTGATGCTCAAAGGACATACTAAAGATAAAAAAGACAGAAGAAAATGGCAAGTAACCTACAACCTTCTGTAAATTTTTAGCAGAGCATGGACTAAGAAAGATAGAGTAACAAAAGATAGGAAGCTGTGGAGAGAAAGTGGGCTAAAGAATAAACCCTAACAAATCCAGATTGGCGTCCCAAAGACAAATGGTTGTTATACTGCATACTATTATACTAACTGCATACCATTATACAAACAATTCCTGTAGCTGCATTATTACCAAACTGTATTGGTTTATCATATTGTATGTGTAAGTGGGGGTGCTCTGCTGGTTATACCCAGACAGAGATCTTGATTTAAGGATAGCTTATCCCCAGACCTGTAGTACTCGGTACTCCACCATCATCTAACCAGAGGGATGTAATATTTATTAAAGATGAACTTCCAAAATGTGTGCTCTATGTTGGAAGTCTTGTCAGTAATTATTGCTTTATCTCTTATTTTCAACTGTTTTCTCTTGAGGTCAAGGTGTCCATTGATGGAATTATAATAAAACTAGACCAACAAATGGATTTACAAGATTCATGATAGATAATAACAGTGAAGATGTTTTTTTCTTCATCAAACTATGGACATTTTTCACTAAAATTCACCAAATACAAGAGTCACTCAATGTAGAGGGTGACTGAATCAGGTGTGTGCTATGAATGTAAAAGGAAATGATAGGTTCGATGGATTAATTTGTCTTTTATGGCTTATCAACCTTATGCAGATTATTTAAAGCCAGGCAATATTTTTGGATTATAAGAATTTCTTTTGGAAATAATAATGATTTTCTGATACAAGTCTTACTAATTAACCCATATTTGGGGGAGATAAAAGTGAATCCATACCATTCCCAAGGGTTTTTGTGCCTAAGTGATTATAATGATCCCAACTGGAATTGAAACTCAGCTCTCTGATTTCTCATTTTAAGGTTACAGTATTCCCAAGTGGTCACCCATCTAGGTACTGACCAGGCTCAACATTGCTTAACCAGTGATCTTATGAGAACTGGTGTTTTGGCAAGATGTGGCCTTAAGCTATGAGGTGATAGGAAGTGAAGATTATAAGCATAAGAAGGATAGATAATGATCGATACTTGATGTAGTCAAGTTTGTAATGTTCAGGGAAATATCCACAAAGTAACAGTTCTTGGGAAGAATCTGAGGTGAATGTCTTCCTAACAATTGGAATATGGAGTAAATGAGGTTGATTTGACTCTTTGGATGTAGCATGGCATTTCCTAGCTGTAATGGTCTGAACTGGTGAAAGTAAACAATGAAGCTCATCAGAACTTATTGGTATATTTAATCAGGGTTGAGCCATAAATAATTTCCACTTTTGTTTATCAAATTTATTCTTCAAAAAATAAAGTACAATTACATTTTATTCAGTTATTTGTAATGACTTGTTGCCATTATCTGGTAGCTCTTTGACAGCTTCTGAGTAAAAAATTCAATAAAATCTTCAGACTGGTTTTTATTAGAGAAAATTTTCCTCATCAAAGCAGATCATGTCTGGGTTCCAGGGGGTCCATGAGGATCAGATAAAAATTAATATTTCTATTCACTATACAGCCCTTGTCCCAATCAATGGTTTCCCATTGAAAGAAATAAAAGAAAATACACCCTGCCACTGCTTGAAAGAAATTACACACATCCACTACTTACAGTGCCAAATGCTAGGCTTTTTTTGACTTGCTATTGGGTCCATTACATCAGTCTTAAAAAACTAATAATTGCCTTGTGCATGGGCAGGTGAATATGGGTGAGGGTAGAATCCAATGTTTTCCCTATATTCTCACTGTATGTGGTCTTGCATTTCCATGGAAGAATACAAGATGTTTCCTTTAATCCACTGCGTATGCTGCCATTGTGGTACAAAAACTATGGTAAGTTATTGTACTCTAATTTTATTCTTAATTGCCATGTACGACTAGTAATTAAATGATACTGTAGTGAGTTTTGATAAAAATAAAATAAAATATAAAAATGAAATATACTAACAAAAAATATAAAGAATTCAAATTAAAATAAGGCTTTTATGTTTTCCTTTAAAACTCTTATCTCTTTTCTTTCCTCTCTCTCTCTCTCTAAACTTCTCTTCCTTTAAAACCCTTATCTCTTTGCTTTCCTCTCTCTCTCTCTCTCTCTAAACTTCTCTTCCTTTAAAACCCTTATCTCTTTTCTTTCCTCTCTCTCTCTCTCTAAACTTCTCTTCCTTTAAAACCCTTATCTCTTTTCTTTCCTCTCTCTCTCTCTCTCTAAACTTCTCTTCCTTTAAAACTCTTATCTCTTTTCTTTCCTCTCTCTCTCTCTCTCTAAACTTCTCTTCCTTTAAAACCCTTATCTCTTTCTTTCCTCTCTCTCTCTCTCTAAACTTCTCTTCCTTTAAAACTCTTATCTCTTTTCTTTCCTCTCTCTCTCTCTCTAAACTTCTCTTCCTTTAAAACCCTTATCTCTTTTCTTTCCTCTCTCTCTCTCTCTCTAAACTTCTCTTCCTTTAAAACTCTTATCTCTTTTCTTTCCTCTCTCTCTCTCTCTAAACTTCTCTTCCTTTAAAACCCTTATCTCTTTTCTTTCCTCTCTCTCTCTCTCTCTCTCTAAAAACTTCTCTTCCTTTAAAACCCTTATCTCTTTTCTTTCCTCTCTCTCTCTCTCTCTAAACTTCTCTTCCTTTAAAACCCTTATCTCTTTTCTTTCCTCTCTCTCTCTCTCTCTAAACTTCTCTTCCTTTAAAACTCTTATCTTTCTCTCTCTCTCTCTCTCTCTAAACTTCTCTTCCTTTAAAACTCTTATCTCTTTTCTTTCTCTCTCTCTCTCTCTCTAAACTTCTCTTCCTTTAAAACTCTTATCTCTTTTTTTTCTCTCTCTCTCTCTCTAAAACTTCTCTTCCTTTTTAAAACTCTTATCTCTTTTCTTTCCTCTCTCTCTCTCTCTCTAAACTTCTCTTCCTTTAAAACTCTTATCTCTTTTTTCTTTCCTCTCTCTCTCTCTCTCTCTCTAAACTTCTCTTCCTTTAAAACCCTTATCTCTCTTTCCTTCTCTCTCTCTCTCTAAACTTCTCTTCCTTTAAAACCCTTATCTCTTTTCTTTCCTCTCTCTCTAAACTTCTCTTCCTTTAAAACTCTTATCTCTTTTTTAAACTTTTAAATTGCTCTTTCTCTCTCTCTCTCTCTCTCTTTTAAACTTCTCTTCCTTTAAAACCCTTATCTCTTTTCTTTCCTCTCTTTTGTTTTCAAGTTTTAAACTCTCTCTCTCTAAACTTCTCTTCCTTTCTTTGTTCAAAACCCTTATCTCTTTTCTTTCCTCTCTCTCTCTCTCTTATCTAACTTTTTAAACTTCTCTTCCTTTTAAAACTCTTATCTCTTTTTTAAACTTTTTAAATCTCTCTCTCTCTTTTCTCTTCCTTTTAAACTCTTATCTCTTTTTGTTTTTTTAAACTTCTCTCTCTTTTAAATTCTCTTCCTTTAAAACTCTTATCTCTTTTAAACTTTTAAATCTCTCTCTCTTTCTCTCTAAACTTCTCTTCCTTTTAAACCCTTATCTTTTTTCTCTTTTTTTAAACTCTTTCTCTCTCTCTCTCTCTAAACTTCTCTTCCATTTTTAAACTCTTATAAATTTCTTTCCTCTTTGTTCTCTTTTAAACTCTTCTCTTCCTTTTAAACCTTTTAAATCTTGATTTTCTTTCTAACATTTTTTAAACTCTCTCTACAACTTTCTTCCTTTAAAACTCTTTTATCTCTTTTCTTTTGTTTTTTAAACTCTTATCTAACATTTTTCTTCCTTTAAAACTCTTATCTCTTTTCTTTCCTCTTTAAACTCTCTCTCTTTGTTCTTTTAACTCTTCTCTTTTTAAACTTTTTAAATTGCTCTTATCTCTTTGTTCTTTTAAACTCTCTCTCTCTCTTTTAAACTTTTTTAAATTGCTCTGTGATCTTTGTTCAAGTTTTAAACCCTTATCTCTTTTCTTTTCTTTCCTCTCTCTCTCTTTGTTCTCTTTTAAACTTCTCTTCCTTTTTAAACTCTTATCTCTGTGATCTTTTCTTTTAAACTCTCTCTCTCTTTAAACGCTTTTAAATTGCTCTCTCTTCTTTGTTCAAGTTTTAAACTCTTATCTAACATTTTTAAACTTTTAAATTGCTCTCTCTCTTTGTTCAAGTTTTCTCTCTTTTAACTTCTCTTCCTTTAAAACCCTTATCTCTTTTTTATTCTTTTAAACTCTCTCTTTTTAAACTTCTCTTCCTTTAAAAACTCTTATCTCTTTTTTAAACTTTTAAATTGCTCTCTCTTTTGTTCTCTTTAAACTCTTATCTTCTTTTCCTTTTAAACTCTTGATCTTTGTTCTTTTTAAAACTCTTATCTCTCTCTTTTAAATCTCTAAATCTTTCTTCAAGTTTTAAACTCTTATCTCTTTTCTTTTTAAATCTCTCTCTCTTTGTTCTTTTAAACTTTATCTCTTTAAAACTCTTAACATTTTTAAACTCTTTTCTTTGTTCAAGTTTTAAACTCTTATCTTCTCTTTAAACTTCTTTTAAATTGCTCTGTGATCTTTTTCTTTTTCTCTTATCTCTTTTTAAACTCTTTTAAATTGCTCTCTTCCTTTTAAACTCTTATCTAACATTTTAAACTCTTTCTTTCTCTCTCTTCTTTTAAACTCTCTAACATTTTAAACTCTTTTAAATTGCCTTGATCTTTGTTCAAGTTTTAAACTCTTATCTAACATTTTTTAAACTTTTCTTTTTCTTTTAAACTCTTATCTAACATTTTTAAACTCTTTTAAATTCTGGAAGTTTTTTAAACTTTATCTTCCATTTTTAAACTTTTATCTCTTTTTGTTTCCTTTAAACTCTTATCTAACTTTTCTTCCTTTAAATTGCTCTTATCTTTTTTCAAGTTTTTAAACTCTCTAACATTTTTAAACTTTTAAATCTCTTTTGTTCAAGTTTTAAACTCTTAAAACCCTTTAAACGCTCTTTTCTTTGTGATCTTTGTTCTCTTAAACTTCTCTTCCATTTTTAAACTCTTATCTCTTTTTTTTCAAGTTTTCTCTCTCTTATCTAACTTCTCTTTTTAAAACTTTTAAATCTTTTCTTTCCTTTCTTCTCTTAAACTTCTCTTCCTTTTAAACTCTTTTTAATCTCTGTTTTTCAAGTTTCTCTCTCTCTCTTTAAACTCTTTTAAACTTCTCTTCCTTTAAAATTTTTCCTTTTATCTTTGTTCAAGTTTTAAACTCTTATCTAACTTTTTAAACGCTTTTAAATTGCTCTGTTCTTTGTTCTTTTAAACTCTTATCTTTTTTAAACTTTATGCTCTGTGATCTTTGTTCAAGTTTCTCTTTAACTCTTAAACTCTTTTAAATTTCTGTGATCTTTGTTCAAGTTTTAAACTCTTATCTAACATTTTCTCTTTTAAATTGCTCTGTGATCTTTGTTCTTTTAAACTCTTATCTCTTTTAAACCTTTAAATTGCTCTGTGATCTTTGTTCAAGTTTTAAACTTTATCTTTTTTAAACTCTCTTTCTCTCTTTTAAATCTCTGTTCAAGTTTTAAACTCTCTTCCTTTTAAACTCTTATGATCTTTTTCTTTTTAAACTCTTATCTCTCTCTTTAAACTTTTTAAATTGCTCTTGATCTTTGTTTTTTTAAACTCTTATCTCTTTTTTTTTAAACTCTTTCTCTCTCTAAACTTTGTCTTCCTTTTTAAACTCTTATCTCTCTTTTAAACTCTTTTTCTCTCTCTAAACTTCTTTTCCTTTTTTAAACTCTTATCTTTTAAACTCTTTTAAATTGCTCTCTCTCTCTCTCTTTTAAACTTCTCTTCCTTTTTAAACTCTTTTTATCTCTTGTTCAAGTTTTAAACTCTTTCTAACATTTTCAAACGCTTTTCTCTCTCTCTCCTAATGTTTTCTTAAACATCTCTTTTAAAACTCTTTTAAACTTGCTCTGTGATCTTTGTTCATCTCTTATCTTTTTTAAACTTTTTAAATTGCTCTCTCTTTGTCTCTCTCTTTTAAACTTCTTGCTCTTCCTTG